ATGTCTTGAAGGCATGGAAGTGTCTTCTACCCTTTTGTTGTGGCTTGGGTTTGAACCTTAGTTGGGGTTCAGTTTTACTCTGGTTGGGAGATCGTTGTTGCCTTGTTCTGCCCTTACCCGAGAAGTAATTTGAGTGTGGTTTTGCTGGCTTTAGTTCCTACCCCTACCCATGAGCTTGTTGGTAATCCTTTGGAGTTGTTTAGCTCTTCCTACACGAAGTGGCTTGGGTGTTGATTGATGAGTCAAGTTTGTCATCCAAAAAAGTATATATTTGCCCTATCTATAAAGTGAAGTGATTGAAGAATGGGTTGAACAGTTTCCTTATGTCCTACTTGGTGAAATTGGAGTCGGTTTAAAGGCTTTGTGAAGGCTTGTCCATTCACTCTCTTATGTATATCAAATATCTTCATATAATTGATTTAGGTTGCCTTAGCCATGAGCCTCCTCTTCTTCTGTGCCTCAGGTTGCCTTGACCGCGAGTCTCTTTTGGCCTTGGGTTGCCTTAGTCGTGAGCCTCCTCTCTTTCTGTGCCTTGGCTTGCCTTGGCCGCGAGTCTCTTTGGCCCTGTTTTGCCTTGACCAAAGGTCTTGGTGGCTATACTCTCCTCTATTGACCCCGACCGTGAGCATTTATTTGGTTCTATGAAAAGATTTTATGTTTATTTGATATATGAGACCATTGATTAATTTGGAAATTGGAAGATCCTGATTTTTGCATGGGTTTGGGAGTACTAATGGTGATATTCTCCGAGTTATTTTCCTTTTGTGAAGTTTGGGAGATTTCTAAGTCTCATTTTGGAAAAGCATTTGGTTGGAATGAATTAATTTCATAAAAGATGTCTTTGGGAGCTGGGCACTGATGTTAGGAAGTCACTAGTGTGTGAGGCCATTTTGACTAGGGTTAAGCCATTTATAAAAAATGTAAAGTGATATCCTTCCGTGAGAAAGTGATATCCTTCCGGATTGATTCAAGGATCTTGGGGCCTCCTTTTTTAGGTATTTTCGTCATGAGTTTTATTACGAGTTTTAAGGACTGATTCATCCTCCGTCATTTCGATGTTTTAGGTGGATCGGTGCCTCCTCTCTCTCACCTCATTTTTGTTTTTTTCCTTGCTTCTTGGTTCGGTTTTCGATGCTTATGTCTGATGCATAAGTGTCCACGTATAGCTTTTTGTTACACGTAAAACCATCAAGCAATGTCGCAAGTATCGCAAGTAGCAATGTCGCAAGTAGTTCGATTTTGTTTTGGGGCTTAGGGCGGTGATGACAAAGGCACACCAGAGATAGAGCAGAATGATATATCATCCTATGACATCGGGATCCAATTCAAGAACCCATCAGGATCCGATTCAGGAACCCGGTGAGCTCTAGGATGACAGTATCATTCACCGACACAAGATTAGCGGGAGTTGACCCGAACCTTCTTGGGTTGTTGGTAGCCTTATGCCCGACAACGCGATCGACTCGTGGACAAATACTTTTCAAATTTGATAAAAACAAGTTTGATAAGAACACATACACCTTTTTCTAAAACAAAAATACATTTTTTGCTAAACAAAATTGATGCAACCCACTTTTTGCATGTTTGAAACCTATGTGCATGCTGAAAATATAAATTTTAAATGCATTTTAAACATCGATTGTCCACCTGTTGATCACCTGTTTAAGCTAAAGAGTACCTTCCTGAGTTAGGTTCGATACGACACCCTTCTAGTTGAGTGGTGGGTTTTATACATCCAGGTTACCGAGTAGCCTTCGACGACCCTAGAGTCCGAGTAGCCTTCGACGACCCTCGAGTACTAATATATAGTTGAGCCTAGCCCTGACCCGAGTGCTTGCAGTCCCCCTTCTTTTCCGACTTTTTTCATGTGTTTTTCTTGGAATTTTCGGACAAAGCACTCGTGGTCTCTTTTTGGGATTTTCCTGTGTTTTCTACATTTTAATCTATTTGTCGATTTCCTCGTATTTCTCTTTTCGTGAGTCTCTTGACAATCTTACTTGAGATTTCTGGACAATGTTTCTTTGTTTTCGTTTATATAAAACAATTCAGTCTGTTTCCTCAAGTTTTGTTACTTTTACCTGTTGCATCAATTACACCTAAGGAACAGTGGACCTCCCAGGTATACATGTTTGTTTTATGTTTACAGCATGTTGCTTTCTTGCAAATCACCTACATGCTGTATTTTTGCTGCATTTTTTTTTAACTTTTCCTTTACCCCGCATGTTGTATTGTTCTCTCTACTGCATACTCTACTGCTTATCATGTGCTACATACTCTACTGTTATGCTATACATTGTACAACTTCAACATGTTTCCTATAAAATATCTGAAGAACTACAACCATAGGGCCGTTGGATTTGACATTATAACCTGACACCCTAAAAAACTTAAACTCGTCACAACAAGGAGCTTGGAACTAGTGCGGTGGGCAACACGTCTATCTTCAACAACAGAACATGTCTTCCCCAGCTAAATCATTCCTTTCCTAGAAATTAAAACAACAATCCATAGAATTTTGAGGTTGTTCGCCCAAACTTATCTATAGGCCTTTTGCACAATCATGTTGTGCAATATAAGCTCTAACTCGCCTTAGGATTCCAAGGTCGCCATATGTCATGACCTAAATCCTCACATCTTCCAAGCTATTGTGTCATCGTTCACACAAATGTAAGCCCTAACAAATAAAATCCACAGGATGAAACACCTAAATATTTCTCCTCAAAAATGAAGCCAAACTATAAGATAGACTAGGAAGTCACCGAGGTTTTCCTTTGAATCTATGACATCCCCTAGATCTTCATCCTTTGGACTCTACAATAAATGTTCCAAATTTAAACCATTCCCTTTTCACACCTCTTTGTCTAATCTCATTGAAACGTCCTATCCTTTTGAAATCCTTGAAGATAATATTTTTTGATTTTTATCGAGAGTTTTCTTAGATGACTTCGGTCATTTAGGATGTAATTAATTATAGGGGCTTGCCCTTATAGGAATCTCGTCTGAACCCAGCTTAATATAAACCCTATTTAATACTTCATATTAAATAAGAGAATTTGTCAGCAAATAAAACAGATTCGCAGACCAAACGAGCATCATATATTTCTTAGTTTATTTGATCGAGTCTCTTCCCAAGTCTTGTGTTTATCCATCGGGATAGATACAGGGTTTGAGATAGAGTGATCTTTCATTTAAACTGTGAAAAATATGGGGTCAGTTTGATTTCATATTTTTATAAACTTAAATCTATATGTAAATTAAAACGTCCTTCCGAAGCGGGCGACGAGATTTCGATTCCGATGACCGACAGCTTCCTACGGGCAACTCACCACACCCCATCTTTTTATCGCCGATAGTGAACAAAAAAAAAAAAAACAACAAACAAAAAAAGACCCACCACAACGAGAAACAAAACACTAGGGAAAACCTGAAGGTGATGAATGAATGAAAATACTTTCCTGGGATGATTCAAACCTTAGGAAAAGAGGGAAGGAGGAAGATGCTATTGCCATACTATGTTTCCCCCAAACTCACCCACGCACACACCCACCCACTCACCCACACACACACACACACACACTTATATATATATATATATATATAAACTATTTTATTAATAAAAAAAAGTGATGCTATTGAGCAATTTCTGGACTTCACAATAAAAAAATATTTTTTCCAGTCCCTGCAACTGTCCATCATATTTTACTGTCAAAGCTATTTTTATAATGTATTCCTTGTTTTCTTCTAACAGGGTGTTGATTACCGGAGAGCTCAACCAATATCTTATGCTCTTAACGACAATCAGGGTCCCACAGCTTTGTATTTTATCCAATTCACGTCAATTTCGAGTCCATCAAACCTTTTTCGCTTTTGCATTACTTATAACTTCATATATTTGAACCGAACCCAAATCAAACCGGAATTGGATGGTTAGCCAGCCTAAGCAGAACTCCAAGCAGAACTCTAAGCTAATAACAGTAACAGTGGCCAGAAGACATTAATGCATCCTGCCAAACATTTCGCTATTCTCTCCATCAATGCGCTGACCTTGCTCGGGCCCATAACGTACAGAAAAAACCAGAGGAAGTCCACGATCCACATAAATTATAATGGATTAGAGGTAAGAGAATCAGCTCCTTTCATGGACCTTGAAAGCCATCTTCTTGCCTAATCATTCAGCATTTTCTCCCCCGTTCTTCACCGTTCAAAAGTCGCTCCTTTCTCCTCTAATGGCCGCCGACCATCCCATCCCTCTCTTTCTTCATCTCACGCTCACTCTTTCACTTATCTTTGCTGCCGTTTCAGTCTCAGAAACAGACATCCTGCTCGCCTTCAAGTCCTCCATTGAAGACCCCAACGCTTCTCTTCTGAGCTGGTTCCCCAACTCCACTGACTACTGTAACTGGACTGGAGTCACTTGCTCCTCTTTATCCCCTCCATCTCCAACCTCATTAAACCTACAAAGCCTTAATCTTTCTGGAGAAATCTCCCCTTCCATATGCCAACTGCCAAATCTGCAAATCCTTAACTTAGCTAACAATCGCTTCAACCAGCCCATTCCCCTCCTTCTCTCCCAATGTACCTCCCTTCGCACCCTCAACCTCAGCAACAATGTCTTATGGGGAACTCTCCCAGATCAGATAACCCATCTTTCTTCCCTGAAGGAGCTTGATTTGAGCAACAATCGCATCCAGGGGCAAATGCCTCTGAGTTTAGGCTTATTGGATGGGTTGCAAGTTCTCAACTTGGGAAGCAACTTGTTCTCAGGTACCGTTCATCCTCCTATCTTCCGGAATTTGAGTGATTTGGTCGTGCTAGATTTATCTAAAAACCCATCTTTGACATCAAAACTGCCCACCGAGATTGGAAGGCTTGGAAAGCTGAGAAAGCTTTTGCTGCAAAGCTCTGATTTTTATGGTGAAATCCCTGAATCATTTCAGGGTTTGCACGAGCTACAGTTTCTGGATCTCTCACAGAATAATCTGAATGGCAGAGTCCCTAAAGGATTGGGTTTGGGCATGACAAACCTGGTCTCCGTGGACTTGTCTCAGAACATGCTATCTGGTTCATTTCCTAGCGATATTTGCTATGGCAAAGCTCTCGTGGAGCTCAGCCTCCATGAAAATTTCCTTACTGGTCCAGTCCCTGAAAGCATTAGCAACTGCAATACTCTTCAGAGGTTTCAAGTGCAGGATAATATGTTTTCAGGAATTTTTCCTCCTGGATTGTGGTCCTTGTCTAACATAGCTCTTATCAGAGCTGAAAACAATCAGTTTTCAGGAGAAATTCCTGATCTAGTTGGAGTAGGTTCCAAGCTAGAGCAGGTCCAGATTGACAACAATAGCTTCACAGGGAGAATTCCTCACAGCCTTGGTCAAATACATACCATGTATAGATTCTCCGCATCGCTCAATGGACTGGATGGCAATCTGCCTGAAAATTTCTGTGATTCGCCTGTGATGAGTATCATTAATCTGTCCCATAATTCTCTCTCAGGATCTATTCCTGAGTTCAGGAATTGCATAAAATTGGTATATTTATCTCTGGCTGATAACAAGTTGACCGGGAACATCCCCTCATCTCTTGCTCAGCTGGCAGTGCTGACTTACATTGATCTATCTAGTAATGATCTTAGTGGGGAAATTCCACCAGAGCTTCAGAACTTAAAGCTTGCATTATTTAATGTCTCTTACAATCAACTTTCAGGTTCAGTTCCTCTCTACATAACTTCTGGCCTTCCAGCTTCATACCTTCAAGGAAATCCTGGACTATGTGGACCTGGACTGCCCAATACATGCAGTCTGTTGCAAAAGAGCAGCAAATCTAAAAGCTCCAAGTTGTTGATTGTTGTGGTTGCGCTAACCTTGACCGCTGTGGTGATGATTTTAGCTGTTATCTTCTTCACAATTCATCGGATGTCTGGGAAAAAATGGAGTTCTAGTGCTTGGAAGCCTGTGTTCTTTGGTTCTTTGGGTGTTTCTGAGGACGAAATAATAATGGCATTGGATGATAAGAATATTATTGGGAGAGGACCATTTGGTAGAGTTCATATCATTCAGTTACCAGACGGAGATTTCGTTGCCGTGAAGAAGTTAATGAGCATGGGAGCTGTGTCTTTAAAAAGAGCTAAAAATGAAATCAAAACGTTGGCTAAGGCTAGGCACAAAAATCTCACAAAATTTCTTGGCTTTTGCTACTCAGATACTTCAGTTCTTCTTATTCATGAATATGTAAAAAAAGGAAGCTTAGGTGATGCTCTCCTGAGATCAGAACTCCCATTAGAGTGGAGAGTTAGATTACAAATAGCTCTGGGAACTGCTCAGGGCCTTGCTTACCTTCACAAGGATTATGTCCCACATTTGCTTCATCGAAATGTGAAGTCGAATAATATTCTTCTTGATGAGGATTTTCGACCGAAGTTGACTGGCTATGGTCTTGATCGAGTGACCGGAGAAGCATCATATCAAGCATGCTTGGCTTCTGAATTGGGTTCTTTCTGCTACATTGCACCAGGTATTGCAAAAGTTTATCATTTTTTTTTTTGAACAATTAATTTCATTATATTAGTTGCTTTTTCTTTCTATTTCTTAAGCTTTAACTGGACAACCTCTTCATAAAAATAATGTGTTATTAAGATCAACACATATTTTAATAGTTTCCGTATAAAAGGTGCACATTTCATGCATAATATCTCTAATAAATGTGAGTTTGAAATTATAAAATATGACATTTAGGATATTTTAAGTTTATCAATATTTGTGGGTGTCACTTTGATTTTTTATAAGGCATGTCAAAAGATATGGTGCAGAGCTATCACCAGGACTAAGAAAGATGTGCTATAAAGATATAGAAAAGGACAAGTAAAAACACAACATAAAAAACACCAATATTTTTATGATTAAACTTCAACCAAATTTATGTCTACAATGGAGAAAATAGGATTTGATCTGCTAAAAAATAAATGCCACAATCATGGTTGGAAATTCAGGAGGGCTCACCAGATCTTCATAATTCTCAAATACATACACAAAAAATGAAAATGAAGATAACCCCAGGAATCTCACGCAAAAAGATTATAATGCAAAAATATTTTTTTTTGTCTTAGATGGTTTGGTCACATTAAACGTCGACCATTTGATGATTAGGAGAGTAGATAAGGAGAGTAGATATTTTAGATTTGACTTATGTTGAGAAAGACAGAGGTAGACCTAGGAAGACTTAGGCTTATTTTACAAAAATGATTTTAATATTTTAGAACTAAGTGAAAATATGACACTAAATAGGACGCAATGGAGAAAAAAGATTCATGTCGCCGACCCCACATAGTGGGATTAAGGCTTTGTTGTTGTTTGTTGTTGTTGTGCTATTGAAGTCACTCATTATGTTGAAATTCAGAATAATGCGGAATAAAGTGAAATACTTAATTGTTTCATTGATGTGAACGAGATTATAAATAACTCTTACAAGAATCTAATAATAGGAAAAATAATAAAAAAAAATGATAAGAAAGGAAATATATATCACTTAATCTCTTCAATAATCAATTCATATTAATTATTAAGATAATTATTAAAATTCATATTAATTATTAAGAGATATAAGAAATAACATAAAATATGAAAACAAATAATTCCTAATCCAAGGAAATAAATATAAAATAGGAAAGAAAATATTTTTTTTATTTTAAGTAAATAATTTATTCATCATAATTTCTTACAGGAATAAATTATTTCTTATTATAACTCCTAACATACCCTCTCAAGTTTGGAATGTATATTAATAATTCCTAACTTGCTGAGTAATATCAAAAATTGAGAAGAATTTAGCGATTTTGTGAAAACGTCTGTTGGCTATTCTAAAGTAGACACATGAGTCAACTTTTATTTTTTCTTTTTAAACTTTCTCTTGTATGAGATGACGATCAATCTCGATGTGCTTTGTTCGCTCATGGTATACCGGGTTCGAGAAGATGTGAAGTGCTGCTTGGTTATCACAAAATAAATTGACAGGATGTATGTGAATGCATGATCTGAATGCATGATCCCCAAATCCTGCAAAATTGTTCTTAGCCAAATAATATCGCAGGAGGTGGCGGCCATGGACCGATATTCAACTACTACACTAGAACGTGATATTGTCGTCTGTTTTCTTGGTTTTCTAAGAAATTAATGAACCCCCAAAGAAGAAACAATACCCAGTAACTGATCTTCGAGTGTCACGACACTTGACTCAATCTGCATCACAAAAGACATTTAATTGGGTTGAGCTTTCTGTTGAGAGAAAAATTCCTTGTCCCACTGTTTGTTTTACATAACGTAGAGCACGATGTGTTGCTTCAAAGTGTTGTACTCGTGGTTTGTCCATAAATTGACTTAAGATATGAATTGCATATGTCAAGTCAGAACATGTGATAGTCAAGTAGATTAATCTCCCAACTAGTTTTCAGTATGATGATGGATCACTGACATATTCTCCTTCTGATTTGCTAAGAGATAAGTTTTGTTCCATAGGGAAAGTGCCTGATTTTGCACTGAGGTACCCAACATCCTCGAGCACACCATCCTCTAGAATTTCAAAAGCATACTTTCGCTGTGAAAGCACAATACCCTTCTAGGATCGCGCAACCTCAATACCAAGGAAATATTTCAATTTTGCCAAGGTCCTTTAATTTTAATTGGTTTCTCAAGAATATTTTAACATATTCAATTTCTTGTAAGTCGTTCCCTGCAATGATGACATTATCTACATATATAAAAAGGGCGATGAATTTACTATTATTGGATCGAATGACCAAGGAATAGTCTGTCTTTGATTGCATAAAATTGGCTTGCTTTAGAGCAGTGGAAAGCTTGATAAACCATTGTCGTGAAGCTTGTTTGAGACCATATAATGATTTGTGGAGTTTACAAACTCGAGTCTCCCCTTTCATCCGAGGTCATGAGGTAGCGACATATATACGTCTTCGTCGAGGTCCCCATGCAAGAAAGCATTATTGACATCTAGTTAGTGGAGATGCCATTGCTTGGTTGAAGCTAATGCAAGGGGTAGGCGAACAATTACAAGCTTTGTTATAGGGGCAAAGGTTTCCTGGTAATCTAGCCCTTCAAGTTGATTATATCCTTTTGCCACTAATCTGGTCTTATAGCGTTCAACTGTCCCATCTGCATGAAGTTTGATTTTGTATACCCATTTGCATCCAATTGGCTTTTTTTTCAGGAGGTGATGGTACAAGGGACCATGTGCCATTGGCGTTGAGTGCGTTCTTCTCGCATAGCAACCTGCCACTTTGGATTACGAGCAGCTTTTACAAAGGTGCTTGGCTCCTTTTCAATTGAAAGAGCGGTGGTAAAAGCACGATATTTAGGTGACAATCTAGCATATGATAAGACATCAGTTAACGGATAGAAGGTACCTGTAGCTTTGGCCAACACGGAGTTTGCTGTTGGGGGGTATCTTGAGAAAAGAGAATACCAACATGATGCTCACGCAAATAGCTAGGCGTTTTTGTTGTTCTCATTGGTTTTGGTGATAATATTTGTTGGTCTGGAGTTGCAGGTTGTTCTGAGAATACATATAGAGTAGGTGAAGGTGAAGGAGTCTCTTAAGAGAGGATTTCGTTCTCTTGAGAAGATGGAATATCTTCTTGAGGTAATTCATCGAATGAAGGCATGTCGGTGTGGGTGGTGAAGTGCGAAATTGAACCTTTATTTGTAGCAAAAGAAGGGGAAGAGAAAGTGTTTTCATGGAAACGAACATCTCGTGATACAAAATTCTTCACAGTTGAAAGGTCATAGACTCTATAGTACTTTTGCGCGTATGGATACCCTAAGAGAAGAAATCGAATGGCTCTGGGTTCAAACTTGGTTGGTCGCTGATGATGTGTTGAAGCAAAACAAAAACACCCAAACACGCGCAAATGATCATATGTGGGTTGTGTTTGGAAGAGCATTTTAAAAGGAGTCTTTCCTTGGAGAAGGGGTGTTAGTGTTCGGTTAATTAGGTAGGTAGCAGTAGGATTGCATCTCCCCAAAATTTTTTGGGTAAATTAGCTTGAAACAATAAGGCTCGGCCTATGTTGAGTAAGTGGCGATGTTTTCTTTCAGCTACGTCATTTTGTTGCAGAGTGGAGACACAACTGTATTGGTGAATGATGCCTTTGTCAAGATAAAAATTCCTCAATATGAATTCATGACCATTATCACTTTGAATAATTTTGACCTTTAGACTGAATTATGTTTCAGCGAGGTTTATGAACTTGATGATGTATGAATGTGTATCTGATTTATAGTTCATCAAATAAGTTCATGTGCATCGAGTATAATCATCAACAATTTTGAGAAAATATCGCGCTCCTGTGATTGAAAGAACTTGGCATCCTCTCCAAATGTCAACGTGAATTAATTCAAAAGGTGTTTTTGAGCCAATGGAACTTGTTTGAAAAGATTAACGAGTTTTTTTAGCTAATGGGCAAATTAAACAATAAAAAACATTACAAATTTTTTTGTCTATAATTGGAAAAGGAAACAAGCTGAAAAAATTATTCGATGGGTAGCCTAAACGTTTATGTCAGAGATTTGGGGATGGTGAAGTAGCAACATTGCACTTGCTCTTTTGTGGAGTATCAAGGTAGTAGAGTTCTCCTCTTTTAGTTCCCGCCCCAATCATCTTCCCCGATTGTTGGTCCTATAGCACAGAAGTGTGGTTATTAAAAATAGCAAGGCATTGTGAATCAAACACAAATTTGCAAATGGAAATCAAATTTAATTTGAAGTAGGGGACACAAAACATTTTGTAGAACAAAGTCAGCAAAATGGATGTTGCCTATGTGTGTGGCAGTTGCAGTAGCCCCATTAGGCAAGTGAACTTTTCTATTGGTAATACTGGATTTGTAATAAGTAGATTGGTTGAATATACCATGTGATCCGTGGCTTCTGTATCAAGAATCCAACACATTTTTTTGTCAAAAACAGAGACACAAAAGATTTTACTTGAGATATTACTCATGGTTGATATACTGCCAACAAGATTAGCCATCGAGTTAAATTTGTTCTCTGCAAATAGCGATATGAGACTTTGATATTGTTCGGCTGTAAGGGTGAATGGTCCTAGACTCGTCGATATATTGGTATCCGTATGGTTGGCTTTGGGAGCAAAATTTTTCCATTCAGGTTTATTACCTGCTGAATCGGCCCTTTGCCGCTTCCTACAGTCATTGGTAGCGTGTCCCTGCCATCCACAATAATTGCATTTGAGATGTGCTCGCATGTGTCTGAGGTATGCATTTTTTACACTTTAAATGAGGATTTTTAGACGTGAAAACCTTTTCTGATTTCCGTGCATTTCCTTTACGGCAAAAGCCAAAGCTTCCAGCTGCGATGCACTCATATTTTTCATCCTATGCTACTTTTTTTCGTGGAGCGTGAAAGAATGTGTTAGTTGACATTGGGAAGTGGATCCATGAACAAAATCTGCCCTCTTATACTAGTGTATGTTTCATTAAGCCCCATGAGGAA